ATAATTCTGTCATCTGGGTTCCTCTTATCTTTTTTATAAATGAGGCTATAGCCTCCCTACCTTATTAAAGCATTTATTCTCTCCTTTATATTTGCAACACTGGGAAACACATATCTGATATACCTAAAGATATTTCTCAGTCTCTTCCATATAAAACTATTTTGGAATGTCCAGTTGGACTCAGCTTTGTAGTTTCTGAGATCTCCTGAGTTGCTCTCTGACACAAGAATACCCATGTTTTCCCCCTTCATGGCTGACCACCAGTTTCCTTTTCAAGGTTTACACTTGCAAATTTATGTTGACATCTGGAATGTTATCAGCTGAAAAGGGGTTTTAAAGTTTTAGTTTTCCCATGAAAAGTGATGCAGCTTCTTCTGAAGGCACATTCTATTATAGAGCAGTCAATGTTTTCTATGAAAATGAATGACCACAGAGTACATCAAAGTGCACCACTATATTCCTAAACAGGCAGAGTCTCATGCCACCAATTTCAGGTGCAGACTCCAAAAGCATTGCAAGACTGTCCCTCCTCATAGTTTATAGAGGTAGAGGAAAGAGCACGGGACCTTCAACAGGACAGATGTGCCCACTTTTAAATATTCAGGATCAATTCTCTCTGGCTGCTTTTGCCAGAAGGCAGAGATTACTGTTACTTAAGTAAGCTTGCAGGTTATCTCTTGCATATTCAGAGATGAAAGCAGAGACATTTCAGGTGTGATTACCTGTCCCAGCTGTCTCAGCACTTCATAAAGGAAGGAATTTCCTTTAGTATATATGTTGATATCCTGGGTTAGGGTTAGGGTTAGGGTTAGGGTTAGGTTATAAAAGGGCAGTTGCACAATATTCTGTTGGATGTACACATTTGTCACTACTTGACATGCAGGCAGCCTTTTTTCTTTTTCATAATATATGCAATGTTATGAATAAAGAGTTTATTGCGGCTCTGAGTCCTGTAAACATGAGGTGCTGATGTTTTTAGAGCATTCCAAAATGTAGAAGTGCTTCACTGATGTCATGCGATTTAAATCTAAAAATTAAGATCAGTATTTCAGCTGTAATACTGTTTCTTCAAAGAAATTAAATTGATTCTATTAACTACTATCAACAAGCAAAAATCTTTAAGCCTGACAGGCAGAAGATACTTTTTATGATGCACTGTTCCTCACCATTTCAGCATCAGAACATTTCTGCAGAGATATCACAGGGGGACCTGTGCTAAGATCCCCCAGACTTATATTAAGCATCAGTTTGGACGTCAGAACACAGCTATTCTTAGGTCTTCCTAATGAAGTCATGAAGAATTTTGTTTTCAAATGCAATATTTCTGATTCCAAAATTATAATTGTGAAAATCTGATGTCTTCTGGAGTGCATTATCCTTGTAGCTGTTAATCTAAGATATTCACCTAGCAGTGTCTGAAGTTAGGCACTTAAAATCTATATTCAGTTACGTAAGACTGTAGGCTGCCAAGTGCTGGAAGATTTGCAGATATTTGCTAACATTCTGAAAAATTGGTTTATTCATTTAGAAAAGTATTTTAATATTTGGTTTCCATCCCTGCCACCTAACAGTTCATATATCACATTTTAACACATATTTCTAAACATTTTTAAGGTTCATTTAAGGTGATGTCTGCCTTTGAATATGTATCCAGCTTTTCTGACATCCAAGATCAAACAATTGTTCAGCAATTTTTGATGATTAGTTCACTGGAAATGGGATTTCACTTCAAGCTTTGACTTAATAAAACCAGGGATAACATTCTAAGAGGTGATTTAGCATTTATAAAGTGGGCAACATCTGGAGTATTAACATCTGGTTTATTTATCCAGTGACAACCGAGACAGCTATAGTAGTCTTTCTCTACTCCTCCTATAATGCACAGAGTCTTGTTTTTAAAGAAGTAGTAAATAGCCATCTCAAACAACAAAACATTACTTCATAATGCTAAACACCATGTGCTATGTATTGTGTTTTCTTCATTCTACTCTTGGCTGTTATAAAAACACAAACTTAAAACATTTATTGCTGTGCTCAGAGTCCTTTCCTCTTTTTCATTAATTTCATCTGAAACTGGGAACCTTTTCTTGAAGCAGTATTGTTTCTCCCTTGAAAAAAAAAAAAAAAGAAAGAAAGGCAAGAGAAGACAAAATATTTGAAAGCCTCATGTCTGACAAAGTATCCCTAGTTACAAATATGTTATGATCTGTACACTTATCATTTTAGGTAGGAAGAAACAGATGATGGTGGAATTCAATTCAAGCTAAGGAAGCAGGAACGGAGCTTAGAAGAATGTTTACATCTGTCCCTAATTTGGTTGCACATAAACCCACAGTAACCTGCTTTATTGCCAAAGTCATAGAAAGAAATTGGGCACCAAGAAGCACAGGTAATCTTGAACTGGAGACCCTCCAGCCTAATTAGACACAAACGCCCAGAAGACCTGAGACTGAAATATGGCATGTAGATTTTGAAATGTATGAAGAGATAGAACAGTCTCATTAGCAGCCATCCGGGTGTTTGTTTAAGCCTCTGAGGTTCCTTTTTTTGACTGAGAGGAGTAAGCCATGTCTATGCCTAAGGCTAAGTACAAGGAAATGCATCCTGTTCCTTCTGGAATGGCCTCGATCTCCAAGCTCCCTCCCCAGGATGCTCTTCCTGGGCTTTGGGCAATTCATGGCCACTCTGTAAAGACATCCTCACAGCTGCCTTAATATCAATAATACTGGGAAAGACAAAACACTATAAGTCATTGAAAAATAAGACAAGCAATTCTGTGGAGAGTTTAAAGAGATATTGGTTCATTATTCATTATTTAGTAGATACATTTCTTAAGGAAGATAGCTATGAGTTTTGCCAGACCCATAAAAAAGTGATAATTTCCCTTATTTAAAACCTCTGAACTTATTTTATTTTTCTGGCATCAAGCAAGTATTGTTGTCCACTTTCTGATCATGAGCTTGTCTCTCTCTGATTACCTGCATGCATCTACTCTGTACAGTGATGTAAAATTGTAAGTGAATTGAAGAAATAGGCAGAGGAGAAGCCTGTGAGAACTTTAAGGATGAATGGCTGTGGCAGAAAAGGCTAGACATGACATAGAACTGACCTCCATGTTACAGATGTCAGGCACATTCAGGTACCGTCTATTTTTGGAAACATAACAACTACACATAACCACAGGGTGTGATAGAAATGTTTTTATCAAGTTATCTCCCTCTCAGTTATTTGGAGAACAATGCAAGGTAACACATTATTTCCTTTTTGAGTAGAGTTTTTACATTATCGGAACATGTCACACTGGCCACAGAATTATAAACAACTTTTGTTTTAATAAAGGGAGCTTTGTGCTCTTTTGCTTTTGCTGCAAGCACAACACAAAGGAAACACAGGGGCACAACAGAGTGGAGAGATCTTGTGTGCAATAAAAAATCACGGATAAAGCCTCCTGTTAATTGACATTCAAGGTCAATTTGTCTGTGACGATGTGGCCTATTTGCAACTGTTGTATTAGTGCCTGAGGTCACCAATCAGCCCCATTTGCTTGATAAGGTTTATGGGAAGACTATATGACATTTAATTTCAGCAGCAAGCACAACTAAAGCATTGCTCTTACAAAAGAAACAGGCAAAATTTAGGTGAAAATAATTTCACAACTTTTCTTAAATATTTTATGATGTTTCTAGCTTTTGTAGGTTTTTTTTTTTTTTTTAAAGAATAGGTACCAGGACACACGTTGCCCTTTCCTGTGCTTTAGATTTGAGATTTAGGGAAAGACAATAAAGCAGTAGAAAAGGAATTACTTGGCCACAAAATGGCAAGTCTTACAGTACTGCCTGTCTCTGTCTGACCTCACCCAGCAGTGAATATCAGAGGTGATGCCGGGCACTGAGAGGCTCCTCTTGTGCTTCCCTGGTGTGATCGAGGCATCCCCTCTGGTAGGGGACTCGCAACCCGCCGAGGGAACAGAGCTTTGGACTGTGAGCATGTCTGTCTATAGGCAGACAGACATGAGCTCACTGCCCATGCAGGAGCCAGCTCTGGTCCAGGAGCCACACAGCCTCATTCATTAGAGCAAAAACATGCCCAACCTGATGCGTCTGTGCCCAGCAGCAGAAACAGAGATTACCCAGCAACACGCATTCACACGTATATGCCTGGGACACCGGGCAGAAAGCCTGGTGGGTGCTGAGATGGAGCACACGGACCAGACTCCCTGGCAGGCAGGGTGCTGAGCGTTCCGTGCTGTCCATGAGGGAAAAAAGCACCAGGCCAGTGACCTGCCAGCCTTCATTAAGAATAAATGTAAACAAGTAAATAAAAAGAGGGAAGCAGGCAAGCCTTTGCTGGCTGAAGCAGATGAGAGGGGAGATGCAACCCATGCAAAAGCTCCGAGGACATGCACAGGGAGGGTGGCTGGGTGCTGATGGGGGGCAGCAGGCTCCTATCATCACCGCAAAAAGCTGCCAGGCACAAGGAGGTCGGTGGTGAAGCCAAGCGGGGTGGTAGAAGCTGGGAGAGGAGAAGCCTAATCGGCCAAAGCAGGGTGGTGGGGGCCAGTAAGGGAAGAAGCCTGCCACCACCCCACCCCGGCGAAACGGGGCCCTTCTCTGGCTGAGGAGCTGCACCCTAACCGCGTGTCCCCTGGTCGTGGTAAGCCCTTTTACTATGCCCGAGAGCTGTCCCGGGTGCCCTCCACCGCCCGCGGCAGCCCCCCCTTACCTTCCGGCCGCGGGCGGGGCTGCTCCAGCCCCCAGCTCCTAGCCCCCAGCTCCTGCTTGCAGGGGGCGGCGGGCCTGGCCCGGGTGTCCCCGGCCTACGCGGCGCGGGGCGGTGTTCCCGGGGCCGCCAGCGGCTGGGCGCGTAGCGGGGAAACCCCGGCACTCCCGGCCGCCGCGGCGGGCGCCTACCTGTTGCCAGGGAAACCCTGGTGTCTCCTCAGCAGCGGCCTTCCACGGCGGGCTGCGGGCGGCAGTCGCTCTGCTCTGCTCCGCTCCGCTCCGCTTCTCTCCCGCAGCAGCGGCGGGACCCAGGGGCAGGAGCAGCTGTGGGGCAGCGGCAGAGGAGTGGGGTGAGGGGGTCCGGGGGGGCGCCCCCCCGGCGGACACGACACGACACGACGGTGTTTTCGGGTCCCGGGGGGGGGGGGGGGGGGTGAGAAATTTAGCAAGCATCTTTTACCTATGAGGGGTTGGGGGTGGGGTCTTTGGGTATGTTTCTCCCAGTTTAGGGCACATTGAACCGCGTTCATTTATTAAACTGGAGACGGTTTCAAACCCATTAATCGTTATTCGGGTAGAAACTGGCAGCCCCTGCAGCCAGCGCTGCACGGGGAGCCGAGAGAGAATGCTGTATCCGGGCTGTGGTATGAAGGGCTCTGCCAAGCAGGTGGAAGAACCATGAGCAGATTTTGCTGAACAAATGGGTAACACTGCCTCGTGTTGTGTAGGGATTTTCCTTGTTTGATAATAAAGGCTTTTAGGCAATGGATGGCGGTAGCATCTCATTGACTAAAGTTGCAATTCTCCTGTCTAAGGATAAGGGAATACTAGTGTCTGGGAAAGATTGCAGGAGAAATAACAACGCAGCTCAAAAATCGCCTCCACTCCCTTTAGCTACACAACTATTTACCTTAGTGTTAACAACAAATCGATTACAGGAATTGGACAGAGGCTCTGTCTTAAGGTAATTGTGAGGCAAGTGCCTGCCAGTGCCCGCTCACCTTAGCACAAATCTCTTTGTGCCAGTCCTGGCTGGCTTTGAATAAAGCCTTCTTGGTTGCAGCAGAAAGGATGGGTATCTCTGTCTGGATCCTCGTGGGATTGCTTTATTTCCCAAACCCAGTAGTACTATGGCTGTAAACTAAAATAGTGTCTTACAATAAAATTAATGTGTGCCCACTTCTGTATATCACAGGGCTCCAGTCTCTGCTGAAACTCCAGCCCAATTTTATCCCAGCACAAAAACTGCTCACAGGGGAGCAACCACTGTTAGCTTGGAGGGGAAAAAATGCAGTAAAATTAGAAGAGATAAAGATGACACTTAGTCTCCAGATATTCTCTCGCAGCAGTTGCTATGGTTTTGTACATTCTGAGGTTGTTTTGCGTCATCAGCATTAAAAACTGTCATAAAACACCAAAGCCTTCAGCTGAAGGGAACTCAGTACATGTGCTGAGTGCTTGTTCCAGGCTTTCTGTGTCAAGATATGCCACAGGTAGTATTTTTTATAGCCTGTTAGATCTTCAGGCTACCTGCACACTGACCTGCAAGGCAGGTTCTTTCCCTTGTTTCAGCAGTACTAAAAGCTCTCTCATGAATGAGAAAGACATGTGCTAGGTGTTGCACATGCACTGATAAATTCACTTTTAATTCATTTTCCCTTATGAAATTTTCCTTTCTCTTTTTTGCATAATTATTTCAATTGTCTCACATACAGCATGAGAGATGAATATTCAATTTAATAAGTACCCTTGAGAAGCCAAAAAACAACTTTCACTGAGTTTGGTGGGGGTAGTTATAACCCATCCTCTTCAAGCATTCAAGTTATTGTGCCAAAGAGGGGAGCTTTTATACTGTTGTCATGATTACCTTTCCAGAGCATAAGACTGCCTGTCTTCTTTCTTGTGATTCACTACCTGTGGCTGTTTCTTCACAGGGTTAAAAAAAAAAAAGAGAGAGAAAAAAGGAAAAAAAAAATGAACTCAAAGTTTTCTTCTAGTTCAGTGCATTTGTAATGGATGCTGTCCATTTGTGGCAATACCTGACATAGTTTAATTCTGAAAAATACAAAGGACACGAGGAACTTTGGATATTTTTTCTAAAACTTTTTGACTATAACTCTTCTAAAGTGCATGAACCTTGAGGTGTTCATGAAATGCCAGAGATGTGGTGCATTTTTAAGGTCCCAGTTTGTCACCTTGCATGAACTCACTATATAAGGCCAGGAGTAAAATGAAGATTAAAGCAGGGATGAAGAGAATTAATGGTAGTTTTTTAAGACACCAGTTTTCTGTGGCTGGCATTCAGATGACAGGTGACCTTATAAAATCTACCGGTGATAAAGATTTGTACCTGCCATTTTGGCTCACATACAACAAAGTACCAGGCCTGAAGTATTTTTAATCAAGATACCTGCAGAACATCACAAGATGTAGATATTTTAGTTGTTTATCTCATGCACTCTTTCATCTTTCCCTACAAAAAGGATTAAATTTACTGAATCAAAGCAAAGAAACTATGCTGAATTTTATCAAAAGGGTTATATGCAAAAACTATGTTCTACTTCACTGGAATCCAGTGGCATTGGTCCAGTAACTAACATATGCTACAGCGACGGTAACGCCACATGGGAGTGATGGGCTGGGCTGCAGGGTGAACGGAAATGCTAAGCAAAGTACACGGTAGAGAGAGCTATTCCAGGTTTATCTTCACAGTGCTATTTTTAAGTTTAGAGATGAAATTTGAATGGCTGAACTCAATGCAGCCTTTCTTTCCATAGCTTTAGAAATCGGAGCATCACAAGCACATGGAAAATATTTCCCAGCTACAGTGTGAAGAAACTAAGCAGGAGGGACTTTTCCAAATCACCATCTGCCTAAGGGAAGAGACAGCACAGAGCTGCACTATTCCTGGACCAAAGAAAGGACCAGTTAGTTACCAGGTCTTCCTTGCTCTCCGCAGAAAGTTATCACAGCCCATCTCAGGAGGTTTGCTCCTGCACTGCCTTGTTAATGCTACCAGTGGCTTTAATAAAGGCATAAGCAAATTTCTGCAGGTGTCCCTGCCTCAAAGTTTCTTTATTTCAATTGCACCAATTTTGGGGTGGGAAACAACAACAAAAAGCAGGACCAAAAATGTTAAACAAAGGAAAAAGAGAAGGTAGGATGAGATTATATTTTGCCTTTTACACCTATGATATTGTCTTAACTTTCATCCTCCAAAGATAGTCACAGCCAGGCCATCGTATTTTGTATTGCTTACCATGAAGGCAGGTCCTTCAAGTAATGGGATAGTTACCTGAAGGTACTTACCTATCAGATAGTTAGGGTGAATATCAGGACTGAATTACAGTAAAACTAGACTGAATATCTATTCTTCACATAAAGGCAGTTGTAAAAATTATTTGGCCACTTAGCAATAGAACTGGATCATCAGAGAAGAGTAAACTCCTGTAGCCTTTTTTCTCAAACAAATTGTCTGTCTATAATGAGCAGTTCACAGAGCAAACCCCTAAGATGGCAAAAGGGAAAGGCTGTTCAGTTACTCAGTGCAACCTCTACAACAAGCTCTGTCCCTGACCGCAGGTGTAAAATAACAGAGCACCTCATTCAAAACTACCTGTAGAGCTGCTAAGCTATTTGTAAATAGATTAGAACATAAACCTGTAATTAAAACTGCTGCCAATTATTAGCTGTTCTTAGGGAAAGTGAAGGTGTAGGAAAGCCAAGGAAAGGTCATTTCATCTTCACTTTGCCTCCTTCAGGCTCTGAGCTGCTTTTATCCTAGAAGTGGTCATGTCCTAGAGGTTGTTCAGTTTCTAATCATGTTAAGAAGTTGGGTTAGCGGGCATGGAAAGCTAAACCATTCCAGTGAAGCCATTTCCTCTTCATCATGTTCCTCACACTAGCTGGCTTCCACGGGGACAGAGAATTGCTCCTGCAGACCCACATCAGCAGGATTCCACTTTGCCATAGAGCAGAAACTGGAAGGCAGCTAGTTACACCAGCATTACTCTCATTCCCTGCTGTTAGAGAGGCATGAAGTGATCATGGGGAAGCTGAGCACTAGGTCTGACACTTACAAACTAAGAGCAAAGCTAGCTTGCAGCATCTACAAGCATAAAACTTTCATTCACAGTTTCTAAATGTTCTGCTTCACAGAAGTCTGAAGCTCCCAGTAGTCCCTCAGGAATTTACCTGGGATCAGAAAATGATTTTATCTAGCACAGAAGATATATGGATGCTACCATGATCAGGTTCAGAAAGTTCCCAGAGGTGGATAGCCCACTGGAAAATATTACCATTATGTTGGGTTTGCTTCTGTGCTATATGGATGTATAATTTAAAACAGTGGGATGAAACATAGCACACAGCATTCCAGTTACTTTATTCCTAGCTGAATAATTACAGTCAGTCAGTCATTTTATAGCTGTATATAGCACTTAATCCATATTGCAATAATTCATGTACCATGTTATACTGCTGCACAGAGCCTCTGCCAGTTTCAGATCAGTCACCTCTGTCAAATCCCATAGGATATGAGGGCTTGTACAGCCTAGTCAAAATAATTTTCCACCCTGGATGGCCACATATGATGTAGCTTTCATTACCAGTCAGGTGCCAGGGGAAGAGCAACTGATGTGGAGAAAGGCTGTTGGAAATGGTATTCTTCCCTGTGTCATACCAGCTGTTGAACTTATGCTCTATTGTTATCAGAATCTGCACTTGCAGCAGCTGCCTGGACAGCCTCTTATTTTAATTGCAATTACTTCCAATGACACTAAACTAGGGGAGGGGACTTGGAGTTAAAGCAGCATATTTAATGTTTATAGAAATGATAATCATGCTCAGGGCACAGATTAACAGAGCTCTCATAATGATGGCAGTGAAGGCAGAAGATAGAGCTTTCATTTCTGCAAAGCATCAAGCAAACCTTTCTTTATTGCCATCACAATCTGCTGCTGGCTCTAACTATTTATGTTTAATTTGATGTATTTATTATGAGTTTGTCCCCTGCTGCCAAGGAGACAGTATTCTGTTCCTTACCTTTCAGGACTGTATTAATCCTGGTGATCAGTTAAGGTATGCAGAGGGAACAGAGCAAGGGGAACACAAGCTGCAGCAACATAGCACAGTGTAAATCCTTGGAACAAACTGAATGAGGTAGAGGAACTGTAACCTGGGAACCATTCTGATTCGTGACAATTACAAGCAATGGCAAAGTACAGAACCCAACATTACATGCCTAGGTAGTAACAGACCTTTTTTCTGTTCTCCAAGTGGAAACTTATGCATTAGTTAACTAACTTAACTAAACTTAAGTAATTGAAATTGGAATTTTGAAACAACAAAATCCAAGTTGTTGCAGAGTTATTTCTGCTTTCTGCTGCTGGCTCCAAAAAGCAGGTGGCATCATGGGTTGTTGGCTGCCTCCTTGTGTGCACAGGGAACACTTATTAGAACTGCGTGAAAAGCCTGGTGAAGCTACCAAGTACTGGCACGTGACAGTTTGCCTAACAGAAAAGCAGCGGGGTAGATAAGCAATATCACCCATCAGAAACATCTCTTTGTGATTTAGATTAGCACAAGGAGAACTTGATCTGTTAAACCTTACTTTTTTTTCCTGTTTGCTTAGTTGCCAAATTTGCTCTAACACCATTGGCTGTATGACTGATCATGCTTGTTAGCAATTTTCACCCTCGTGATGAACCTAAGTAAAGTTACATTCAGCTCAGTGATTACAAACCCCAAACCACTGAAGGAAAAGACAAAGGAATCCTAAATTCTGAAGTCTCCTATTCCTGTCCAATCTGACTTTTATCTTAAGAACCTATGAATTCCTTAACTTTATAATGATTTTTAAGGATGTGATAATTTAATCCTTGACTTGCTCGCTTTTCATACAGACATCAGTCATCAAATCAGCTGTTTCGGGAAATGAATCGATCAGGTGCATGAACAAGCTCTAGTAACTGCAATTGAAACGTCTCCCCCACTCCATACCTCCTCTTCAGAGCCTCCATAGCAACCATGTTTGCAGAGGTTCTCAAAAATTCAGTCTTCAGGGGAAATTAAACCCTTCCACGTACACTAAAAGTCTGAAACAAGAAAAACAGCAAATTCAGGCTCAAGAGAAAACATCACAAAATCTGAACTTCCAAGTCACACATCAGTTCTAATTTTACAGCTGATAACCAGTTTTCAGCATCAGTATAGCTTTGTCATGCTTTTAGAAACTAGAAAAGAGGAAGGGCATTCCAGTGCAGCTCCACTGAAACCTGTGTCTAATAATTTAAAGTAATTTATGATCCATAAAGCGCTCACAGCAAGGCCAGTATCACAACATCTACCGATATTTATGAGTTTGCTGGGCTCAGTTCTATTAATATGAATATTATGTAGATTATTAATGAGATTAAAAAATGTTTATTGTTCATAATTCATTAAAAATACTAAGCTATCTGCAACCTACTGACCCCTGGAGTTATGGTTTGTGTTATCGGCAGATTTTGCTTCGTTTGCACAGAATGGGTCAAATCATAAGTGGTTTATGGTGCTCTTTAGCATACAGCTATGGCATAAATAAGCAGAAAAGACAGATGCTATGCAAGTCAGCAGTTTACTGATTTGACATTGACTGCATTTGAAAGGTTAACACAACTGTCCTGAATAAAAAGAAATTGGGGGCTTCTGTGTTCCCACTGAACCAGACGTGTTTGTGCTTGGAAGGAGAAAAGACACTGCTGTCACACAAGCACCTGCATTATAGCAGATATGAAACCCAAAGGGTAAATACAAAATTCTCTGCTTTCTGAGGCAGCGGTTATGCAAAATGTAGGTATGTAGAAGTATTTCATGAACAATGTTGTATTGCCTTTCAGTTAAGGAAAAATGTAGTGGTTACAGAAAAGCAAGCTTCAAACCGTCTTTAAAAATAACATACAGTATCAAACCTAAATTAGTAAATCTGCAGGTACTCTGTAATATCCTCCTGAACCTAAATGTGCATTATAAAAGGTCTTTTATACACAAGAAATGAGGAACCTGATTTGGAGTAAGGTCCTCAGACCGTTCAAAGAGGAGATGCATTTAAAACCAGGTCTACCTGGTAAAACATGGTTACCATGTAAATTGTAACAAGCACATAACCAAAGCATTAGGCAAAGACAATGTGAAAGCACACTTCCTGCATTTATCTTCTCTCTTTTTAAAAGTACAGCAGCAATACTTTGACTCTCTTTTGCTAGATTGTCATTCCTGGTATTGTACATTGTCCAGTTCCTCTGCTGGCATTCTGTTTTGCATCTAAATCCAAACCACAGTGGTAGCAGCATTACCCTCATGATATAGTGCTGCAATATACAGCTGTGTATTATTACAACTGTGTATCATTAGCGGGAAATCATTTTAATGCTCTTGTAAACACCACCAGAGAGCCAGGAGACTATTTGTATTTCTTTTACTGTCACAGACTAAAGTGCCTTCTTCCAACCCTGTCCATCAAATTAAGTGTTGGACCAGGTGCAAAGTACTCTAAACCTGCCAACTCCAAGCTGTCTTGAACTTTAGTAGAACAAGGCAACCACTTTCTACTGCAGACATTGTAAGCATATCTGTTGCAAATAGGGGCACTGATAAGGTGTCCTTTCTCCATCACTCAGAAGTCTGCAGTGCTCATGCTGGAAGCATGGCACTTTGCTCCAGAAGGCTTTGCCACATGTTTTATGCTTCTTATTGGCAGAACATTTCACACAGCTCATTCTCCCCACGTAGAGAAAATGTTGGTGGGTAAAATATTGGATAATCTTCTTATATAAAACATCTTATATTTTTATGTAAAAATACTGAATATATTTAGTTCAAAAATCTTGCCTTCTGAGGTAGCCCTTGTTAAGAATGAGAAATCTCAGCAGAGCTTTGAGAGATTTTCTGACCCAATCATTGGAAGCCACAGTATCATTTTAGGAAACAGTAGTCTTTCTTTTGGAAAGATGAAATATTCAGTTCATCCCACCACCATTAGCTATAAAAAAAACAGAACTGTCAACCAA